ATCGCCATTGCTGCCACTGCCACAGCCACAGCCATTTCCGAGCCACCCCCTCGCCCACAAGCAGCTCCAAAGGGCAGGCAGTGAAAGTTTCTCATGCGTGCCAGCAGGACGAGCTACCAGAGCCAAGAAAACGGAGCAAAATTGTGTGGCAAGCTGCGAGACTTGGAGATGAAAGTAGCAAGTTTCGTCCATTTGCAATTCCACTCCCCACAACACCCTCACATACACAAGTGTGTGTGTGTGTGTGTGTGTGCGTGTGTGTGTGACAGTCGCATTTTGATGAAATTTTATTCCGTTCACATACCCGTCAATGTCATTTCTGCCGCTCGCTTAAGTCCCCTTAGTCTGTTTTTTATGCCATGTCCTTTTGTTGATTATTTCGTTGACGTGCCCGTCTCTCACAAACAGTGAGTGTGCGTGTGTGTGTGAGTGTGTATCTGTGTGTGTGTGAGCGTGCTGTGACAAATGTTAAGTTCTTTTAAAAGTCCTACCCACATGCTTTTTCTTGTAGCTCTGATTGCAGAAAATGCTTTAATAAGAATCTGCTGCCGACTTTCCTCAGATCCGCACAACTAAGTATATATCTTTATTATATATTTTCTGTTTTTTTTTCAGTTCGAAAACTGATTGTCATTCTTGAAAAGGTGAGATTGTGAAAAGTAATGCGAAAACAATTGTATAGCATTTCATTTTCTTTAAACAATATTGCAATATTTCTAGTGAGATTTCATTTAAGTTAAGACCCAGAAATTTCAAATGTGAATCGGAAATATCGAATCGAAAATAGTTAAGTTCAAATATGCATAATACATATTGCCGAATACTGGATTCGGATCTCTCTAGAATTTGAATGACTTGCCGAAAACGCAGTGAGATTTTGCTGGATTTAAACAAAAAGTCGTGTCAGAAATTTTATAATGGAGGAATTTTAAATCTTCTTTTGTTTCAAACTAATCTCTCATATAAACAATTAGGTAGGCAAATGTTTTAACAAATTATTTAATTATAATCTCTACAATATGTTTATATAATAATTACATTATAATATCTACAATATGCTTATTTATTTAATACCTTCTACAAATTTATAATGAATTTAAATAATTTATATTCTTCTATACAAAATGGCTGACAATTTTTGTGTTAGTGCTGCAATCGATTTATTTGAACATTAAGAAAACGATTCATAACAAAAAAAAATTAAAAAAAAGGTAACCAATACATTTCAATTTAAGAAACAGAGTGTGCTTTGCTTTTTGCTCAATCGTACAACTATATAGTTTTGATTGGCTATTAACAACATTTTTTTAAATAAAAACAGATTTGGTCCTTTTTATTGACAACGTTTCTTTCTGCTCGCTTCTCATATTATTCCAATTAACATTTAATTGAAATATAGATAAATATTAGATTTTCAAATATTTCAAGAAAGATTTGTTTTGAATTCTAATAAAGCTAAATAATGCTACATTTAAACTATCCTGACGAAGTTAACTTTTTTATTTATTAAATGAAAACTTCTTTTATCAAAAGGCTGGCAAAAAGTAATTGCCAGTAATTAAAGAAGAAAAATTCTTGTGAACAATTTAGAGAGTCCACACCATATTATAAAATATACAACATTTTTCAATTTCATTTTAATGTTTTTTCTTATTTTTCTTTTCTAATTTGTTTACTGTGCGTGTGAATCGTGTGCGCTCAAAACCAGTATTATTCGATCCACAATTGTACAGAAACCAAATTTAATTAAGCGCCATCTAGTGCACAATAGCAGCAGTCTGTCGACTTCCACATTGCGAATGTTGTAAGCAAAGACACGAACCCACACATTCATTCCAACCTCAGCATTAGGTGTTCCCATGTTAAGTGCGAGTATAACAGTTATACTTTACCGCACCCCCTTCTAAATATTCAATAATAATTATAATTTGTAATTAGCTGATTATACATTTTATTGAATTTATTTAAAGGTATTTATTTTAGTAACAGCACTAAAAGCCATTATTCTTTATTATATTTATTAAAAGTTGTCATCTTAAGATAAAATTAAAGTTTTTTCAATCAATATAATCATTTTTAAAGGTAGAATAGAATTTAAATTGTTCAGTAAGAATATCGCAAAAAAGTTAGAATAAGAAAAATTAACAACAAAATGAATATGATACTTAGTAATAGCAGCACTAATCCAAGAAATGTTTTCAATTTTAAGTTCCACATTAGCTTCAACTTCCCAATCTGTCTGTGATGGTCGCGTGCAAATAATTATTAATATTAATATATGAGAAATATTAAGGTCTTTTAACTGAGAGTTTGAAAAGCTCAGGCTAAATTATTGATTAGTTTACAACCGGCATGCCTTCGGTGTTTAAGTTCAGGCTAAATTATTGACTTCCCAGCATTTTAAAATATACAAACATATACATCTTATTTTTGGTTTTAAAATTGAGCTTCAAATTCTATTCCAAAATAATGCACTGTCAAATCAATCGAGAGTCATATAAATACATTCAAATAAATAAATAATACAGATAATAACAAATTGGAAAAATAAACCCAGAAAATCCAAAAGGATATGTTCTACAATGCTTTTTCAGATACTTTAAAACATCTCAAGTAATTTGAAAGAATTATTGTTCGAATATCTTGAGCATTATTTATATTATTGCACAAAAATGTGACCAGCACTTGCAAAATCTAAAATAAAACCTTCTAATTAATCCCCTATAGATGCAATGCACATATGCCAAAGCTTTTTCCAATCCTCGATGCAGTTGGAAATATCCTTCTCTGGAATCGCCTGCAAATCCCTTTTGATCGAAAACCAATTGTTAATACTAGTCGCCTTTAAGTTAATATCCCAATAATTGATTTCAAAATGGGCCTTTAATCCTGCCATAAATATTGGTTACTCCCATAAAAAGCAATAATTTCAAAATAAAGTCACTTAGAGGACAAGAGGCTAAGGTCAGCAACAACAAATCGTTCAAGAATATACCAGCAAAGGCCAAACCAGATACTCCCAGCAACCATAAAGGCAATTGACTGGAAACCTGCTAGTTGGAAAGGAGTTTCTGACAGACTCGTGCGCAACAGTAAGCGAGAAAAAAATCCCAAACAACACACAAATCACAGAAGCTGACGATGTCACCTATCTGAGTATCCAGTCAGACAGACAGATAGACAGACAGACAGACAGACGGAGAGACACACAGACGTCTAAACAGACAAAGACATATAGCAGCCTAAAGCATAAATTCTGCGCTACAACTGACGAAGTAGCAAGAATACGGTTTGAGAAGTTAATGATATGAAAAAATACCCCCCCCCCCCCCACACACACAAAAAAAAATTGGATAAATTGTGGTTTTAACTAATATTTGCTTAATTTGTAAAGTCAAAACAATTTTTATAAACAAGTCTAGCATATGAATATTCATAGCTAGCATTTGAATATTCATAGCTAGCATATGAATATTCATATTCAAAATTTGTTCTGAAATACTTTAAAAATCAAATAAAACTGAGGAATGTTTGTATGTTTGATTTACTGAAGAATATTAAATAATTTGTTTGTTATATAGGCTGGATCATAATTGTTTATACCTATAAATAAAATTATTTAAAATTCCACTTTGCTGTCCTTCGGATTGTCTCTGATATTTAATAAGGGCTTAAAATGTATTGTATTTTATTTATGTCCATATTGTTTTAATAATCACTTTTTCATATTCATTTGTGCAGCGCTGTGAAGTGAACAGTGTTGTAAAATGTTAGCACTTTTGGTAGATTATTCGATTTCTCTATCATTTCTGTGACAATATAATGGCAATATAGGAATATAATGGGAAGAAAATAAATATTTTTTTGAAAGATTACTCACAACCTTTTTTTGTTATATAGACTGGAACATACATAAGTATTTATGCATATAAATAATACTGCTTTATTTTAGACTCCATTCTAAAGTCCTCCGCATGTCCCCCATGCACAATAAATACAAAAGACAACGCTGTCGAGCAAGCCCGACATTCAAATACCCTATATCGGAGCATAAAAAGGATGAAGAAGAGCATAGTGCTGAGGAGTGAAAATGTTTCGCTTATAACTTTTCTTATAATTGACCGATTTGGATGATAAGTGTAACAATATAACGAGTGCATAGTTTGGTTTATATAGCTTACGAAACGTTAATAGTATTGGCGAAATTTTGTAGCAGGGGAGGGTCAAAAAAATAAAATAAACTCGTGTTGCATGGATATTAGGAGAGTCTACATACCAAGTTTGGTGAATGTAGACTCAACCGTCTCAGCAATCCAGGCGTTCATCCAGACAGAGGGACATGGCTGTTTCGATTGGTTAAGAATACATATACTTTAAGGGTTCGGTGATGACTCCTTCTCCCTGTTAGATACTTTGCACAAGCCCAATATACCTTTTCCAGCCTACGAGTATAGGCTAAAATAAATAAAGGCTCGTGAGGCATTACACGTGATTAATGTCCTCAATTGTTCTATTAATTACTTTCCGCATTATTAAACAAAATATATGTATGTATGTATGTATATTCGGGCAGTGTTGTAAAATGCACGAACTGTTTGCGATAACACATTAAAATTGAACCCGTTTGTCGGACAGCAAAGGCTTAATTATTTCATTTTCAATGTCGTTCATCATTTTTGTTCAACTCGTTAGATTGATTGTCCTAGCATTTTCGTGATTTATTTTACGGACTCTAACATTTACAGCTCCCGAGGGGCAAGGAGGGAGGTGGGCAGGGGCCAGGGGACAGTGATTTAAAGGGCACCCGTTGGCTGATTTCAATGCGATTGACCCAAATATAATTAACAGGCTGCGGCCACAGGACCTCAGACACACCAACAACAACAATAAATGCGATTCTGTTTATGGTAATCCAATAAATATTTGCCGGCCCGCCATCGCGCGCGAGCTTTGGGCAATCAATTTTATTTGCAAAACAATTTGTTGTTTGTTATGTTCCCGTTAGTTATGTCCGCCCTTTGGGACGGACGGCCTCGCCTCCTAATGTGAATGCATTGTTATGCTGCTCTCCTTCTGATCCTGGCTCTGCTTCTTCCTTTTTAGATGCTGCTGCAAATTTAAAAGCTCAATTTGTCCATTTATGTCAACTTGTCGGGCGAAGCACAATAAAACGAATTAATAAAATAAGTGGAAGTGGAAGTGGAAGAGGAAGGGGAGGAGAGACACCGAAAGCGGACATGTGAAATATATTCAGCGATTTCTGCATACACTTATGCAGATGCTCAGATACTTACTCGTACATAGATGCTCGGATACTGCTCAGAGTCACTCGGATACTTTAGTTCTGCCACGGCGTTAGCTGTAGATACGGATGCGGATGTGGATGTGGATGCGGATACACCATCATTCATCGCTTATGTTCCGTACGTACTGGTTGTTGTTGTTGTTGTTTTTGTTGTCGCTGTTGCTGCTTCCGCTCTCCTCGGCGCTTCTCAGCGCATATCCCCGCTGCTAACAAATGGCAAAAACTGTCGCTCATTCGCATAAATCCTGACGAATGATTTCAACGCGCTTGCGAATTGCAAAAACTGTAACTCAGAATGGCATGGCGAAGTGAGAGGAGGATGGCTGGGAGCCGCACACACCAAAAGCAATTATATGTACGAATCGTTTTACGAGCCAACAACAACAACGACAACGACAGCAACAACAAAAGCAACAAAATACTATAGAAAAAAAGCAACCGACACACTGCAACTTCTGCTGTCGCGGACGCCAGTGTTGCGCGTTCGTTAGCTTGAATAAAAAGCTAGATCGGCAATAAAAGGCTTATCTTAGTATTAAAGCGGAGTTTCTGGAATCAAAAAAGATTAGGCCAATAAATATTTTAGCAATTTAAGATATTAATAATACTAATAGCTAATTACATTTTACATAAAAAGCTAGATCGGCAATAGAAGGCTTACCTTAGTATTAAAGCGGAGTTTCTGGAATCAAAAAAGATTAGGCCAATAAATATTTTAGCAATTGCAGATATTAATAATACTAATAGCAAATTCTATTTTACATAAATAATTGAAAGTATGTTTTCTATAAACTTTATATTATAATTCTAATTCTAGTATAAATCTATTCTGTTTCAATCTATCCTTTAGCTCTAGCATAACTTTACATTTCTTTATGAAAATTTTCATAACGACCCTTAAAACTTCAACATACTTATTTTTAAACGATATCTTCGTAATATGTAAAACTAATAGTATGCCTTAAAACCCAAGACTCGCTTTACAACAACTCATTCAAAAGACTGCTAGATGATATACTTTAGTCTTTATGGCTTTATGATTTATCTCCGAGTCAGCTGGAGCTCTAATATGCTTTCTTCTCTTGACTGAAAATTATGCCTAAAATATGAGAAAAGCCTTGGTTTTAATACGTTCATACAAGTATCTTGATAGATTAGACATTACGTTAACTCGGAAATTCACCTTATTTTCATTGTGGGACTCTATTAACAGGTGATGTGCTTTCTCAGAATAACCATTTTCCTTTGTATACAATCATATAATTTTGTGTATATCTGTATACCTTTATTTGTATATCTTCAACATTCCGTAGAAAACTTTGAATACAAGATTATGAAAACGTAATTTTGTAACTTATTTGACAAGAAATGCAACTAAACTACTCCAAAATAAAATTATTAATTTCTTTCATACCCAAAGGCCTTTTGTTACTTAAAGATCAGTTTATAAATAAGTAACTAATTTGTCTAACTCATAAAACTATGCTACAAGGCCAGAAATCGGCTTTTAAAAAACTCCAAAGCTGGCGGGAAAACTGCTAAATTGGAAACACTAGCTGTTGCCAGTTCTTCCTTCTCCACCGCCTACTCTTCTTCTAACTTGGCGCTCTTCGCTTTATGCTGACAACAATGCGTTGAAAGCTTGAAAGAAAAAAAAAAAGAGCAGCAAACGTACGCGAGTAAAACAAGCGTTACAACAACAACAACAGCCACCATTTAAATGACAAAGAAATTGCCAACTCAATAAAAGCGACAAGAGAGAGAGCAAAAAAAAACGGAACGAACACGAACACGCCACACATACTACAAGTATATGTATGTATGTATGTACATGCTGGCAACCCCAAGCAGCCATATCCACCATGTAGCGAGAAGGCAGACACACACTCGTACATACTCACCATACTGAACGCGCTGTCGCCCCCAACTCCACCATCATATCATAAAATCAACAGTGGGGAAAAACGTGGTACTGAAACAGAGCGGCAGGGCGAGGTAAAGGCCAAGGCAGAGCAGAGAGAAAGACGCGCAGTGCGAAAATCAAACGATTGTCAATGCGAAAATAAATCGCATTCTTTCATTTTCGTTACGAGCTGAGCGTGGCTGGCGGCGACAGCCCTCCCCAAGGACGACAGCTGCCATAAAAAATTTAGTTTGCCAACCCTGATGAAACGTGCGGCATTTTTATTATATTTATTTCGTTTAAACTCGAGCGCAGCTCATCCCATCCCATTCCATCGCATCCCATCCTAAATCAAATGCAGCAGCACCAGGACAGAGAAATGGCAAAATACGTAAGCGACAGCCATAAAGCATTAATGGAATTTTGTTCTTTAACTTTTCCGCTAGTCATAGAAATGACACACACCACAAGGTGCATCCTAGCATCCAGACTGGACACGATGGCGTTGCCAAAACTCATTTAACTTTATGCTTAATAGTCCTCTGGAGGCACTGTTGGATGTTCGAGCTCCGAAATAATCACACGGCCCAGCTGTCGGTTGATGAGATGCCACATTATCATGCAGCGCCATACGAAACGCTGCATATAAATCAATATAAAATCGAGTACCTAATGGAAGCGTCCGCTGTGAGTTATTTCTTTCCAATTTTGTCTTTGGCCCATTTTGGTTTTGCTTCAAAAAGGCAACTTGATTTCTGATATATTGTGAAGGTCCTGCTTTGTATTTCTTTAAGAGTCACAATGAAATGTAGGTGCCTCTTGAAGTCCTTACGATTTCGCGCAATTAATCGATCGTAAATGAATCCTTGCTTGCTGAGCTTCATACAATTCGAATCGAAAAATTTAACATTTTAACCAGATATGATTATAAAATATAATAAATAAAAATCTATTCTAAAATGGTGACCTGCATTTACTAAAATAATTATAAAGAAATACAAAAAAAATTAAAGAAGCTTAGCTTAAAAATACCCAACAATCGAATTTGAAGAAAAAGGTATGCTAAGTTTCTGGGCAATACTCACCATTTTCCTGACATTTTCCTGGCGTATTTGTTAATAAATAAAATCACTGAATATACATTTCTGTATTAAATTAATACATTTATTTACATTATTTGTATATTTTAATCACTTAATATTCACAGTAGATTTCAGAACCATTTATTTTATTAAAATTCTTATATATACTATAGCATTCAAAGAATTAAGACAAATATTGTACGTACAATGTTTACATGTCATGGTATGGAATTTAATACAAAAAAACTACTTTTGTCTTAGATAATAATACTAATAACAATCAGCAGCTATGCATTTATTCATCCATTTATCTACCCACATACCTATGTATGTACATCCATCTATTTACAAAATATTAAACTGAAAATATTAAAACTCGTACATACCTAATTAAAAATACCTTTCAAATAGTATATATTTATATTATTATCATTTTACATATCTTTTATTCGATCTAGAAAGATGCATAAAATATTATTTTTTTGTTTGTTAATTATTTCAGCCGAAAGACTTTCGTTGCTTTGGCTATAAATTAACATATAGGATTAATTCAAAGTTACAATAATGTAAATAAATAATTCATTAAGTACGCGTTGACATTCTATATTCGAACGAAAAGCTAGCATTTAAAGAGCATTTAACCTGTATTTCTGCATTTAATTACATTAGATTGTTGGAGGGCGGCGGGCTCATATACGCGTACTGTTATTCGTTTTTCAACTCATTTCTACTGATTACCCCATAACGTTTGACTCTGATTTTAATTGCTGCAGCCTGGCAAAAATATATATTTCCTTTATCGCAATTTCTGCTGAATTAAATCTGGCAGACGAGGAATATTTTCTGGCTGGCTGGAAATTAGATGAAACAAAATCAACGAAACGACATTTGTAACTGCCAGCAGAGTTTTCATATCGTTGGCAAGAAACGAACAGGCAAATACGCTAAATAAACAGTGCGGCAACATGCGGCGTATACTTAATGTCAGGCCCACCTATAAACGTCATCATAACAGGCGCAGGCACAGGAACAGGCACAGGCTCAGGCTCAGGCAACAACAAAAGCAACAATAACAATAACAGCAACAACAATAGTAGACCATGCCGTCGAAATCATTATTTATGTATGGAAACGTGCCAAGCAGGTTTTTGTTTCGCATACTTTACACACACACACACACACACTTACATACTCTCAGTACAGCTGCAGACGCCATGAAGCAGTGCCTTCCCCCCACCCCCTCCCCATTCCCTGCTCCAAAACTGCTTGACTGTGTCTATGGAGCGCGTCTGCAGACTACGGCAACGGGCTCAGCATTTACAGCTTGTCTTTGCCTTTGTGTTTGTTTGTTGTTACTGTTGTTATTGTTGCCCTGCCGTGCTCCAATTGTTTTTGTTGCCTTGCCGCTCGCTTGGCACTTTACGTAAGTTTTTGCTACCGTTATGCCATTTGCCTGTTGTGATTTTTTCCCTCAGATTTACTCCCCTCACACTCTCTCGCTCTCTCTCTCTCTCTCCCTCTCTCTCATGCATGCAGGCTGCTTTCATTCATTCGCTGCTGTGGCTCTTACATACATATCTGCTGTCTGTTGTTGTTGTTGTCGCTCTTTCTTCTTTGCACTTCTCGCGCTTCGTTCCTTCGTTCGTTCGTTAAGTGACGCCAACTTTTACGTGCGTCTGAATTATTAATAAACGTTAAAAGGCACCGCCAATTGTGAGCGTCTGTACTTGAACACTTTACCTGTGACCCCACAGCTCACCGCTCACCGCCCACCGTCCCCCGATCCCCTCTCCCCAACGACCGCCTAGGTTCGTGTCTGTGGCAACGCCTGCGTCATAGTTGAGTTGATGTTTTATGTGCTAAGTAGTTGGTAAGTCACCTGCGACAAGTTTGCTGAAAGCTTAACGCCACTTCTCTCTTTCTCTCCAAAGATTTAAACGGTAAGTCAGATTCAGAGTCCGCGTCAAAGTTGGAGTCAGAGTCGGAGTCGGAGTCTGTGTCTGTGTCTGGACACGATTTAGTGTTGTTTTGTCAGGGCCGAAATGGCGTACAAGACACTGGTTGCCACAAATTTAATGTACGGTAAATTAGTGTAAATATGTAGGTGTACATAAGGACAATGTAGGCATAAAGTGAGGCCACAAATTCCTGAAACTTGACACGCATATAAATCATGGATGTATGTATTGTAGCTACATTGTTGGGCAAACGACGACATGTCCACCTATAACTGGGCAATTACTTATCTCATTGTGGACGTTGTTGCATGTTCTACATACTCGGTCCTCTCCCTTTCAGCAAATATCCATGCATATGAGATGCTGTAAATGGTTTGTGTGGAAAGGATAGAGGCTGCTGTAAGCCATAGAGCGCGAATATAGAAAAGCGAGTTCGATTTAAAATACACATTTAAATTACAAATACTAGTAGAAGAGAAACTCTTAACATTAAGTTGCGTAAAGGATTTAAGCATATTTGTTATTTATTAAATAAATAAAACCTATGCTGTGCCTGATCTGAATGTGTATTTTTTTCGGGTTACAGTCCTCAGTCTGCTCCCAAAGACAGCCTTTATTTCAATCTTAATGAAAATACAAGTAGAGGGAACGCAGATTTCCTACCTTAGTTCAGAATTGCATTTAATAATGTTTGATTGGTATTTTCCTGGCCTAATCCGAACTGGTGATGAATTAAAAGAATACTCAATAAAACAATGGTTATGAAGTGTTCAGAATTGCATTTAATAATATTTGATTTGCTAAAGCAAACAGGTGGCGAGTTATAAGAAAACTGAATAAAAACAATGGTTGTGATGTAATATAATTATTATTTGGCAACTCCACATTACATTTTAAGCAAATTATTTATCAGAAATTTATCTATATTTTTGTATCTGTGGAAAATCATGACAAACTTTTTCTATTCGTTATAATCGTATGTATATTTATACTTTCGAATTAACATCCTTAAAAATTGTACATTTTTCCGTTTTAATGTTAATACTTTTATTTAACAGATGAAAAGTGTATTACAAGTTTGATATTTTTGATTAAAAGTCAATGCTTTTATGAGCCTTTTATATTTTAAATCATTTTCTTCATCATACTCAGATAAATAAAAGGCCGTTCGTGAATATTATTTATTCTTAAATCGATTTGTTTTCCGATATCGGTACTTTTCTTTATGAAATAAAATGTGGAATACAAGTGTGACAAAAGACAAAATTGATCGTTTTGTTTAGAAAAGTAATAAAGCCTAATACAGGTATTACTCTTTATATTAATCTTTTATTCAAATTAAATATCCATAATAATAATAAAC